ACAAATAAAGAAACAAAAGCCATCCAAATTGGTAAGGACAGTCAAACTTTCACTATTTCAGATGACATGATACTATATATAGAAAACCCTAAAGACTCCATCAAAAACCTACTAGAACTGATAAATAAATTCAGTAAGGTTGCAAGATACAAAATCAATGTACAGAAAGTCATTGCATTTACATACACTAATAATGAAGAAGCAGAAAATGAAATTAAGGAAACAATCCCATCTACAACTGTACCAAAAAAGATACAATACCTAGGAATAAACTTCACCAAAGAGGTGAAAGACCTGTGTCTGAAAACTATAAAACAATGATGAAAGAAACTGAAGACAATACAAATGGAAAGATATTCCAGGCACATGGATTGGAAGAACAAATATTGTTAAAATGTCCATATGACCTTAAGCAATATGCAGCGTTAATTCAATCCCTATCAAAATACCAACAGCATTTTTCACAGAACTAGAACAAATAATCCTAAAAGTTGTATGAAACCACAAAAGACCCTGAATAGCCAAAGCAGTCTTGGAAAAGAAGAACAAAACTGGAGGTATCACAATGCCATATTTCAAAATAGACTACAAAGCTATAGTAATCAAACTGTACAGTACTGTCACAAAAACAGACCCATAAATCAAAAGAACAGAATAGAGAGCCCTAAAATAAACCCATCTTATATCGTCAATTAACCCTCAACAAAAGAGGAAAGAATATGCAATGGGAAAAAATCAGTCTCTTCAACAATAGTGTTGTGAAGACTGGATAGCTATGTGCAAAAGAATGAACCTGGGCCACTTTCTTATACCATACACAAAAATAAATTAGAAATGGATTAAGGACCTAATTGTGAGACATGAAATCTTAAAAATACTAGAAGAGAGCACAGGCAGTAATTTCTCTGACATTGGCCATAGCAACATTTTTCTAGATATGTCTCCTGAGGCAAGGAAAACAAAAGCAAACATAAACTACTGGGACTACATCAAAATAAAAAGCTTTTGCACAGCAAAGCAAACAATCAACAAAACTGAAAGACGACCTACTTAATGGGAGAAGATATTTGCAAATGACATATATGATTAAGGGTTCCTATCCAAAATATATGGAGAACTTGTAAAACAACACCAAAGAAACAAATAATCCAATGTAAAAAATTGGCAGAAGACATGAACAGACATTCTCCAAAGAAGACATACAGATAGCCAACACACATGTGAATTTATGCTTTGTATCACTAGTCATCAGGGAAACTCAAATTGAAACCACAATGAACTGTCACCTCACACCTGTCAGAATGGCTAAAATCAAAAACACAAGAAACGAGTGTTGGCAATGATGTGGAGAAAAAGGAACACTTATGTGAATGCAAACTGGTATAGCCACTGTGGAAAACAGTATGAGGGTTCCTCAAAAAATTAAAAATAGGATTCCATAGGATCCAGTAATTCCACTACTGGGTATTTACCCAAAGAATACAAAAACACTAACTCAAAAAGATATATGCAACCCTATGTTTATTGCAGCATTATTTATAATAATCAGATTATGGAAGCAATCCAAGTATCCGTCATAGATGAATGGATAAAGAAGTGGTATATATCTACATACATATATATGAATATTCCTCAGCCATATAAAAGAATAAAATCTTGCCATTTGCAACAACACAGATGGAGAGTGTAATGCCAAATGAATTAAGTTAGAGAAAGACCAACACTATATGATTTCACTCATATCTGAAAGTTAAGAAATAAAACAAACAAAAAAAAAAGAGAGAGAGAAATCAAACAACAGACTCAGAACTATAGAGAAGAAACTGTTGGTTATGAGGAGACAGGGATGGGTGAAATGGGTGAAGTGTATTAAGAAGAGTACACTTATCATGATGAACACTGAGTAACATACAGAATTATTGAGTCACTATATTGTACATCTGAAGCTAATATAACACTATCTGTTAACTATACTGGAATTAAAATTTTTTAAAAAAGTTATCATAATATCATACCTGTAAATTCAGAGAATAAACTGTTGGTTGCCAGAGGGAATGGGGGTGGGGAAACAGGCAAAATGCATGAAGAGGAGTAGAAGATACAGGCTTTCAGTTATGGAATGAATAAGTCATAGGAATAAAAGGCACAGCATGGGGACTACAGTCAATGATATTATAACAACATTGTATGGTGAAAGATGGTAGGTAGCTATACTTGTCATGGACATAGCATAACATAGAGATGTCGAATCACTATGTTGTACCCCTGAAACTAATGTAACATTGTGTGTCAGCTATACTCAAAAATGTTTCTAAATAAATAAATACAAAAGAGAATTTAAAAAATCATAATAAATACTGCATTATGTTACATGCCTTTGAATATTTAGAAAAATGTATAATTCCTAACCTAAACCTGTATTCTTAGAGGACTCTAGGGTATATGTCGATACTTTATTCTATACAGGTACCATCTGAAATATGTAGGCATGCAGAGTATTGGACTTCCTAAAATGAAAATGTTATTTTTGCTCAGAGTCCACTAGACAAATTCATTCAATGTTATAAGTGGTAGCTGCATTAATAAATTAATGAGCTGTTTAGGAATGGTAAGTCAAGGGTAAGAAGATAAAAGGATAAAAGGAAGACTGTGTAGAGCTAGAAACATTTATGGTGAATTGCAATAATTTCAAGTATGTCTTATGTTGTCATTTTAATGGGAAGTATCTATATTTGAATATAGTAATATAGATTTGTTTAAAATATTAAGTGGTACACTTTGTTTTAATTTTTTATTTATTTTTTTATTATTTTTAGAAAGCAAGCATGAAAGGGGAAAGGGGGCAATTCTAAGAAAACTTGGGTCCATTAAAATAATGTCAGCATAAAAATTACCTGTCTTCTCCTAACTTAAATTTTTGTTTGCTGTGTTTCTTTTTAATCCAAAGTGACCAGAATGTTCTTGGACAAAGCTGATAATCATTCTGTTTCAAGGGCTGTCAATCAAAGCGAACTTAAAACATTTTCCAATAGAATCTCATAGTTTTGCCTTTATAAGAGTTTATTCATGATATATAAGACATAGGTTCTGCCCCAAGGATAATCTATTAATAGAGACAGAGTAAAGATTTTAAATGTTACAGAGAATCAGATGTTAAACGGGTGCACAGACAAGTATCCTTGACAAAACCTAGAAGGTTGGGTTTAGAAAGTTGGTTGCATTTAAAATCAACATTTTCCCACATTACTAATGTATTTATATACTAGATAAGCATGTCTCATTGGCAATTTATTCACATATTGCAGGCAGATATAGGGAAAGTTGTTCCAGTATATGAATCCTTTCTTACAAACCCAGAAAGAACAAGGTTAGAAGGTAAAAACAATTAGTGTTGTGGTAAGATTTTTGTTTGTTTTTATTGTTAAAGTTATAGGTGCCATTTTATATATTTATTTAAAATTTTTTTTAACGTTCATTGATTTTTGAGAGACAGAGAGAACAGATTGTGAGCAGGGGAGGGGCAGAGAGAGAGGGAGATGGAATCCAAAGCAGACTCCGGGCTCTCGTTGTCAGCACATAGCCCAATGCGGGGGCTCAAATTCACTGACCACGGAGACAGATCATGACCTGAGCTGAAGTTGGACACTCAACCGAGCCACCAAGGTGCCCCAAGGGTGCTGTATTAGATATTGCAGTGCTAGACAAATACTGGTATTCTAGCTCAAGTTTTAATCCTACGGGAGAAAGACTCTATGTGCTTTCTGACTAAATAGCAGTATCTGTAAGCACAGTTGAGCATCTATTTATACACCTCTTCATCTAATCAACTAAGATTTTGCTTTTAATTTTCTTGCTTTAAATTTAATTTAATTTCTGGCTAGTTTATCTGCTCATCCTTATAAAACTTAGAATGTACAGATGACCTATTATGAATGTTCTTCCTTGTATCCCAATTGTCCATCTATCCATTTCTAGTCCTCAGGAGCTATTATTTCCAGGGTCTTAGACATCCTTATAACAACAGTCTCCATAAATGCAATGCATATATTCTATTTCTCCTTTCCCCAATCCACTTCTTTTGTAGCAGATTATACACACTTGTCTCTATATTAATTAATTTTATTTATGCTCATTAGCTGTATTATGACATATTGTACATAAAATAAAGTCACCGAGTTTATGTGTATAATTCAACAAACTTTGGTAAGTATATACATTCATATAACCACCACTGTAAACATGATTATAAAATATTTGTATCTCCTGAGACACCTAAATGGCTCAGTTGGTTAAGCATCTGACTTCAGCTCAGGTCATGATCTTACGGTTTGTGGATTCCACATCAGGCTCTGTGGCTCTGTGGACAGCTCAGAGCCTGGAGCCTGCTTCACATTCTGTGTCTCCCTCTCTCTCTGCCCCTCCCCTGCTCACACTCTGTCTTTCTGTCTCTCAAAAAAATGAATAAACATAAAAAAAAATTTGTATCTCCTCACATTGTGACATTGTACCTCTTTGCAGTCAATTTTCTCCTGCCATCCCTTGGCCACTGACTATAACTGAGCTTTTTCTTTTTCTCACTATAGTTTGTTCTTTCTGAGAATTTCATAGAATATGTAGTCTTTTGTATCTGTTTTTTTTCATTTAATATAATTCTTTTGAAATTTGTTATTTGTATCATTCCTTTTTATTAGTGAGTAGTAATCCATTGCATACCACAATTTGTTAGCATTCTTCGGTTAATGGATATGTGCTTTTTCCAGTTTTTGATCATTATGAATAAAACTGTTATGAACATTCATGTACAAGTCTTTGTGTGGACATTTTCATTTCTCTTAAGTAAATACTTAAGACTGAAATGACAGGATTTTATGGTAAATTTATATTTAACTTTTTGAGAATCTAATCTGCTACTGTTTTCTAAAATGTCTACTATTCTGCATTCTAACCACTAATGAATAAAATCTAACTGATCACATCCTCAACAAAACTTGGTGTGGTAAGTGCTGGCTTTGGCAGCACATAATACCAAAATTGGAACAATACAGAGAAGATTAGCATGGCTCCTACGTGAGGATGACACATAAGTTTGTGACGTTTCCCATATTTTTTTAAAAAAGAACAGGGGAACCTGGGTGGCTCAGTTGGGTGACTCTCAGTTTTGGGTCAGGTCATGATCTCACGGTTTCGTGAGTTTGAGCCGCTCCTTGGACTCTGCACTGATGGTGAGGAGCCTGCTTAAGATTTTCTTTCCCTGTCTCTCTGCCTCTCTCTTGCTCACACTGTCTTTGTCTTTCTCAAAATAAATAAGTTTTTAAAACTTTAAAAAAAAGAACCAAAAACTTTGGTGTGGTAAGTTGTTTCAGTATTTCTCTAATGGCTAATGATATTGAACATCTTTTAATGTGCTTATTTGCCATCTATATACCTTTTAGTCCATTAATATGTTATTTTGGGGACACCTGGGTGACTCAGGCTGTTGAACATCCAACTCTTGATTTCAGCTCTGGTCATGATTCCAGGATTGTGGGATTGAGCCCTACATTTGGTTTTGTGCAGAGTGTGGAGTCTGCTTAAGATTCTCTCTTTCTCTCCCTCTGCCCCTCTCCCCTGCTTGCTTGCTCTCTTTCTCTCTCTAAAAAGAAAAAAAAAATTATTATTTATATCTTTATTATTGAATTGTAAGAGTTATTTATTATGGATACAAGTTCTTTGGTGGATCTGTTTTGCAAATATTTCCACCAGTCTTTTCTTTCATTCTTTTTTTTTTAAGTTTTTATTTATTCATTTACATAATCTCTACAGTCAACATGGGGCTCAAACTCACAACCCTGAGATCAAGAGTCACATGTTCTTCTTAGATGGAGCCAGCCAAGGGCTCCTATTCATTCATTCATTCATTTAACAGTGTTTATTGAAGAGCAGAAACTTTAAATTTTGATGAAAGATAATTTATTATTTTTGTTTTAAAGTTCAAGTATCTTTTTGTTTTAAAGTTTTATAAAGTCCTATTTAAGAAATATTTACCTACTCCAAAGTTACTAAGATTTTTTTCTCTGTTTTCCTCCAGCCATTTCATAGGTCTTATTTTGACTTTTAGTTCTGTTAATGTGAGTTAATTTTCTATATGGTGTTCGGTGTTAGGTAACAGGCAAGTTTCTTTTTTTCTTCCTCCTTTCCTTTTTCTTTTTCTTCTTCTTTTTGTTTTTCATACAGAGATCTAACTGTTCTAGCAACACTTTTTTAAAAAAAGTATTCTTTCCCCAAGCAAATACCACAAGATTTAAATTATATGTGGAATCTAAGACACCAAACAAAAACAAACAAAAAGCATAAACAGACCCATGAATACAAAGAACAAACCTGATGGCTGCCAGAGGGAACGGGGTGGGGGATGGACAAAATGGGGAAAGGGAAGTGAGAGATACAGGCTTTCAGTTACGGAATGAATAAGTCATGGGGATAAAAGGCACAGCATAAGGAATATGGTGAATGATATAGTAGAGGTGTATGGTGACAGATGGTAGCTACATTTGTGGTGAGCATAGCATAATATATAGACTTATGGAATCATTGTGTTGTACACCTGAAACTGATATAACATTGTGTGTCAACTATATTTAAATAAATAGATAGATAAAAGATAAATAGATAAATAAATAAATAATAAAAGAAAAAGAAAAAAGGTATCCTTTCCTGCAGTGAATTAGGTGTCTTTGTGAAGATTTAGTTGAACACACATGTCTACTTCTGGACTGTATTTTGCCCCACTAATCTACAGATCTCTCATTATACCAATAACACATTTCTCTTGATTCCTGTAGCTTTATTATAAGTTTTAAAATCAGAAAGTCTTGAGGCACCTGGCTGGCTCAGTCATTGTAGCAGGTGATTCTTGATCTCGGGTTGCAAATTCAAGCCCTATGATGGGCATAGATATTACTTAAAAATAAATTTAAAAATATTTTGGGGTGCCTGGGTGGTTCAGTTGGTGAAGTGTCCGACTCTTGATTTTGGCTCAGGTCATGATTTCATGGTTTGTGAGATCGAGCCCTGAACTGATAGCATGGAGCCCGCTTGGGATTCTCAATCTCTCTCTCTCTCTCTCTCTCTCTCTCTCTGACCTTCCCCTGCTCTCTCATGAACACTCTCTCAAAATAAATAATCTTTATTTAAAAATAAAAATCTTTAAAAAATAAAATCAGAAAGTCTTGCAAGTTTGCTTTCCAAGACTGTTGGGGCACCTGAGTGGTACAGTTGGTCAATCATCCAACTCTTGATCTAGGCTCAGGTCATGATCTCACAGTTTGTAAGTTCAAGCCCCGCCATTGGGCTCTACACTGATGGTAGAGTCGGCTTGGGATTCTGTCTCTCCTTCTCTCTGTCTCTCCCCCGCTTGTGCACATGCGCACTCTCTCTTTCTTGCAAAATAAATAGTAAAAATAAACTTAAACATTTTTTTAAAAAGATTGTTTTGTCTATTTTCTTGTTTTCTGGGGAGTTCTTAAACCTTTTCTTGGGGATGTGTCTTCTCTGGGCTGGTGCATGTAATAGTTCCCAGTTAAAGAAGTTTGTCCATGTTTCTTCTCAGGAACCCACAATCTCTTTCTTCCCCTAGTGTCTGTCTGCAGTACCACTGTCCCTCTGGCACTATAAAAGCTGTGGTGCTCACTGAGATACCACCTCACGCCAGTCAGAGTGGCTAAAATGAGCAAATCAGAGAACTCTAGATGCTGGCGAGGATGTGGAGAAACGGGCACCCTCCTGCACTGTTGGTGGGAATGTAAACTGGTGCAGCCCCTCTGGAAAACAGTGTGGGGGTTCCTCAGGAAACTAACAATAGAACTCCCTTATGACCCAGCAATAGCACTGCTAGGAATTTACCCAAGGGATACAGAAATGCTGAGGCATAGGAGCACATGTACCCCAATGTTCATAGCAGCACTCTCCACAATAGCTAAAACATGGAAAGAGCCTAAGTGTCCATCAACAGACGAATGGATCAAGAAGATGTGGTTTATCTATACCATGGAATACTACATGGCAATGAGAAACAATGAAATCTGGCCATGTGTAGCAACATGGATGGACCTTGAGGGTGTTATGCTGAGCGAAATAAGTCAGGCAGAGAAGGACAAATACCATATGTTTGCACGTATAGGAGGATTAGGAGGAACTTGACGGAGGACCAAGGGGGAGAAGAAGGGCGGAAATGGTGGGGGAAAGGGAGAGAGGCAAACCATGAGAGACTCTTGAATGCTGACAAAAACTGAGGACTGATGGATGTGGGGGGGAGGGGGGGATGGGCATGAAGGAGGGCACTTTGGGGATGAGCACTGAGTGTTATGTAGAAACTAATTTGACAATAAACTATTTGTAAAAAAAAAAAAAAAAAAAAAAAAAGCTGTGGTGCTGACCATTGTTCTCTGCCTTTCCACAACCTGGCATCCAAAGTATACCTCCGTTTCTTTTTCATCATCATCTGAGTCAGGCAAGATGAAACTAAACCCCTTGTTCTGAAAAGCCAAAATGCTGAATGCACATTCTTTTTTCCTCCCAAGGAGTTTTCTTCCAACAGTGATAGTATGGTGGTATGTTGGTGGAAAAATGGTGATAGGACAGGCAAAAGGGAAGAACTTTTCTCCTTGCTCCCATGTGTTTCTTTTTGGCTTTACACTCATCTGGGCTGCTGCAACCTCTTAACTGCTTTCTGGTTGTTGCAAAGGCGATTTGGTACCTATCTTATTAAGTCAGTTCCTCTGGGAGAACAAGGGCTTGAAACTTCCTATCCCATCATTTTGCTGATGTCTCTGCTTTTGTTTTCTTAAATTTGACAAATAGTTTAAACTTACAAAAAAGTTACAGACTGTACTACTGAACTTTCACCTACGTTTACTAACAAAATATTGTTAATGTTTTTTGCCACATTTGCTTTATCTGTCCTGTAAATGAATATTACTGTACAGTCTGAGGTTTAGTTGAGGACATTGTTGTGTTTTACTCTAAATATTTCATGTGTATCTTTAAGGACAGAGTCATATTTGTCATATGACTAGACCAACACTCACTATCTGACATTAAAAAATAACGTTGAGGGGTGCCTAGGTGGCTCAGTTGGTAAAGCGTTCAACTCTTGATCTTGGCTCAGGTCACGATCTCATGGCTCATAGGATTGAACCCTGTGTTGGGTTCTGTAGCACACAGCCTGCTTGGGATTCTCTTTCTCCTTCTCTCTCTGCTCCTTCCCATGTGAGTGCATGTGCATGCTCTCTCTCTTTCTCAAAATAAATAAACTTTTAAAAAGTTGTTAAATAAACAATAAATAGTGTTGAATTGTTTATTATAGAAAGGGATTTTTTAGGGGTGCCTGTGTGGCTCAGTCGGTTAGGCAACTGACTCTTGATTTGGGCCCTGGTCCTGATCTCTCTCTCAGTTCATGAGTTAGAGCCCTGGAATGAAGCCTGTTTTGGATTGTCTCTCTCTCTCAAAATAAATTTAAAAACGTAAAAATATAAAAATAAAAAAGGAAGAAAGGGATTTTTTACAGGACTTGTGGATCAATAGATTTTCAGAGACATACATGGGTTAATGTCATCAATAGAAGTGTGCTTACTCAGGTGAGGTTGTTGTTGACTGACACTGCAAAGCATGTTTACTAGAGAGAGTTTGCAATTGATTGGCTGACGTTCAGAAGTGAGGAGCAGATGCTGCTTTGCTGGCTTTTAATATTGTGTTCACTGAGGTGAGTTGTTGAGAAGTTGAACAGGTTTTAGATCAGTTCTTTTTTTTTTTTATAGTTTATTGTCAAGTTGGTTTCCATATAACACCCAGTGCTCATCCCAACAAGTGCTCTCCTCCATGCCCATCACCACTTTTCCCCTCACCCCCATCAACCCTCAGTTTGTTCTCAGTATTCAAGAGTCTCTTCTGGTTTGCTTTCCTCCTTCTCTTTAACTTTGTTTTCCTCCTTTCCCTCCCCTATGGTCCTCTGTTAAGTTTCTCCTGTTCCACATATGAGTGAAAACATATGGTATCTGTCTTTCTCTGCCTGACTTATTTCACTTAGCATAGTACCCTCAAGTTCTATCCACGTTGCTACAAATGCCCAGAT